TCTCATATGGGCCGGTTAACTTAGCTTCATCCTGGCGCCATGAACCATGCCCTTGAAGCTAGCTAAATGTCAAACAACAGGTAGTGTGGTCCCTTGACTCTCAGAAAAGAGATGATGCTCGGTATGAAGAAATGGAACATACACATAGGACAAATGACATTCTCAAAGACTGGCCTTACCCTCAAGGTCAGTGTGAAAATATCATGGTTATGCAGAAAACAACTCAAATGAGTGTCTTACCGCGTATGTTTTGGAAATAAAAGAATCGCAGATTTCAGAGACTCCTGAGAGCTCTGTGTTAAGATCTCTGGCCTCCATTTATGCATTGACAGAGTAGCAGCACTGCTGTAACATGTTGTTTATCTTCCTGTTCATCTTTTGTGTTCAGTACAAATGTCCTCAGAATATTCAAAAGAATGGGAAACAGATGGTAAAAATAATAATAATGTATGTCTTAAGAATGGGGAAGCTGCAAACCATTTTAGTAGTTGCTGCCCGGTAAGAACAGGGATCCTAGTGACATGGATGGAAGGGGGCTGTTTCCACCTACTGCTCTCTTTTAAAATGATGGTCAAATCAAAACGCTTATCCACCATGATCAAGTGGGCTTCATCCCCGGGATGCAAGGCTGGTTCAACATACGCAAATCAATAAACGTAATCCAGCATATAAACAGAACCAAAGACAAAAACCACATGATTATCTCAACAGATGCAGAAAAGGCCTTTGACAAAATTCAACAGCCCTTCATGCTAAAAACGCTCAATAAATTCGGTATTGATGGAACATATCTCAAAATAATAAGAGCTATTTATGACAAACCCACAGTCAGTATCATACTGAATGGGCAAAATCTGGAAGCATTCCCTTTGAAAACTGGCACAAGACAGGGATGCCTTCTCTCACCACTCCTATTCAACATAGTGTTGGAAGTTCTGGCTAGGGCAGTCAGACAGGAGAAAGAAATAAAGGGTATTCAATTAGGAAAAGAGAAAGTTAAATTGTCCCTCTTTGCAGATGACATGATTGTATATTTAGAAAACCCCATTGTCTCAGCCCAAAATCTCCTTAAGCTGATAAGCAACTTCAGCAAAGTCTCAGGATACAAAATCACCATGCAAAAATCATAAGCATTCCTTTACACCAATAACAGACAAACAGAGAGCCAAATCATGAGTGAACTCCCATTCACAATAGCTTCAAAGAGAATAAAATACCCAGGAATCCATCTTACAAGGGATGTGAAGGACCTCTTCAAGGAGAACTGAAAACCACTGCTCAATGAAATAAATAAGGACAAACAAATGGAAGAACATTCCATGCTCATGGGTAGGAAGAATCAATATCGTGAAAATGGCTATACTGCCCAAGGTAGTTTATAGATTCAATGCCATCCCCATTAAGCTACCAATGAGTTTCTTCACAGAATTGGAAAAAACTACTTTAAAGTTCATATGGAACCAAAAAAGAGCCTGCATTGCCAAGACAATCCTCAGCCAAAAGAACAAAGCTGGAGGCATCATGCTACCTGATTTCAAACTATACTACAAGGCTACAGTAACCAAAACAGCATGGTACTTGTACCAAAACAGAGATGTAGACCAATGGAACAGAACAGAGCCCTCAGAAACAATACCACACATCTACAACCATCTGATCTTTGACAAACCTGACAAAAACAAGCAATGGGTAAGGATTCACTACTTAATAAATGGTGCTGGGAAAACTGGCTAGCCATATGTAGAAAGCTGAAATTGGATCCCTTCCTTATACCTTATACAAAAATTAATTCAAGATGGATTAGAGACTTAAATGTTAGACCTAAAACCATAAAAACCCTAGAAGAAAACCTAGGCAATACCATTCAGGACATAGGCATGGGCAAGGACCTCATGTCTAAAACACCAAAAATAATGGCAACAAAAGCCAAAATTGACAAATGGAATCTAATTAAACTAAAGAGCTTCTGCACAGCAAAAGAAACTACTATCAGAGTGAACAGGCAACCTACAGAATGGGAGAAAATTTTTGCAATCTACTCATCTGACAAAGGGCTAATACCAGAACCTACAAAGAACTCAAACATTTACAAGAAAAAAACAACCCCATCAAAAAGTGGGCAAAGGATATCAACAGATACTCCTCAAAAGAAGACATTTATGCAACCAACAGACACATGAAAAAATGCTCATCATCACTGGCCATCAGAGAAATGCAAATCAAAACCACAATGAGATACCATCTCACACCAGTTAGAATGGCGATCATTAAGAAGTCAGGAAACAACAGGTGCTGGAGATGATGTGGAGAAATAGGAACACTTTTACACTGTTGATGGGACTGTAAACTAGTTCAGCCATTGTGGAAGACAGTGTGGCAATCAAGGATCTAGAACTAGAAATACCATTTGACCCTGCCATCCCATTACTGTGTATATACCCAGAGGATTATAAATCATGCTGCTATAAAGACACATGCACACGTATGTTTATTGCGGCACTATTCACAATAGCAAAGACTTGGAACCAACCCAAATGTCCATCAGTGACAGACTGGTTTAAGAAAACGTGGCATATATACACCATGGAATACTATGCAGCCATAAAAAAAGGATGAGTTCATGTCCTTTGTAGGGACATGGATGCAGCTGGAAACCATCATTCTCAGCAAACTATAGCAAGAACAGAAAACCAAACACCGCATGTTCTCACTCATAGGTGGGAATTGAACAATGAGAACACTTGGACACAGGAAGGGGAACATCACACACTGGGGCCTATTGTGGGGTGGGGGGAGGGGAGAGGGATAGCATTAGGAGATATACCTAATGTAAATGATGAGTTAATGGGTGCAGCACACCAACATGGCACATGTATACATATGTAACAAACCTGCACGTTGTGCACATGTACCCTAGAACTTAAAGTATAATTTAAAAAAAACTGAAATGAGCAAGAATTTTAAAAATAATTGTATTAACTGAATAAATAAATAAATAAATAAAATGATGGTCAAAGAGACCAGAGGGTGACTCCATTCCCTATTCCACCAGTTAGATGAGAATTCTTGGGAGAATGGCAGGTGAGGCAATGGCTTCGTTATGGAAGTTGTCATTCCTTAACACTCCTAAATTTACAAAGTGCATTACTGCTCCGAACTCCTCCCAATTAAAGAAAACAAGGAAAAACACTGTGGCGTAAAATAGCATCAGATCTTTACATATATGGAATTTGGGAACCAGAAATTTATGCAGAGATCATCTTGGCTACTTTTTTCAAACTGAAGTCATATCTCATTGATGGATCATGAAATTAATTGGTAAGTTATAACCAGTATTTTTAAAAGACAAGAAAAAAACAGAAAATAGTGTTTCACACTCCATAAGGATAAATATTAGCTGGGGAAACGGTGTGAGTGTGTGTGTATGTGTGTTGTTTTCTGAGTTGTAATGTAAAATATATTTTTCAATGGATCATGGTCAAAAAATTTGAAAGCCTACAAGTGATCTAGGCTCATCTCTTCATAAGTGTAGGGTCAAGGATGTGTAGTTAAATTGCGTAAAACAGTACCACAGTCCAATCTTCCTGATTCTCACTCTAGTGCTTATTCCTTTCAGTCACATTCTAGCCACTACAAAACAGCAAGTGTGTTTCCATAATCACACTGCATCATGTTCGTAGTTCACTCCTGAGACCCCATCAAGCCATAGCTATATAATTCCCTCGGGCTTGCAGACCCTGGAACACTTGCAGACTCGGTATCACCAGAATGCATACACAGTCCCTGTCTGGAGCGTAACCACAGAGAGGAAGAAAAATGCTTTTTTAAAATATGGCTGCTTTTGCAGATGGTCCCCCTTTGCATACTCAGTTATTCCATTGTAGGTGTGAAGCACTTAGCTTGCAAGACCATCATAGGGCCATCAGGGTGAAGTGCAGGTGGAGAAGATGCCACACCCTGATGAACTCAACAGGAAGGAGAAGAAACTGCATCCCTACAAATAACATAGACGTGAGAAAACCACATCTGTGTGAGTGCGAGATCATCTGAGAGCACGTATGGCAAGGAAAGCCGCCATGCAGGGCCAGTCTCCAAGGGCTTCTTGGAGAAGATGCTGACTTGCCCGAATGGGTTTTGCATTTGGATATGAGACTCGGGAGCACAGGCTGACATCCCTGCACAGAGGCCGCTTGTCAGCTGACCAGAACCCAAGGCTTTCTAGACAGGTGTTTTCTCTTGGCTCAGTCCTAGGGTAGGTGAAAGTTATTTCTTCCCCGTATTGAAGGAACACGTACAACCACCTACCTCTATTGGCCCTGTAAAACCTGAGGTGAAAATAGTTGTGAGTTCCTCTGGGTTTTAAAACTATGACTTGCTGACATTTGGAGGAGCATTTTACCCCATACCCAGTTCAGACTGTTATACCTTTCCATGTTTGCTTCCAAAGATCTGAAGCTGCTGAGAAAGCTGAAAATGTTTTATGTAGAAAATATACAACAAAAAAAAGTTTGGTATTTCCGTATTTCTCAGAGAAGGCGTGACCTCTCATTCAGAGCCACGGGCAGGCTTCATTTTTTGTTCTCCACTATTACGTTGAGTTGTGTTTTCTCGCTAGCTCTCTTGTTCCCCTTTCCTGTCCTTGTTTTGACAGGGAAGAAAATAAACGTGGTCGGTGATAAAGCCTGGGATGCTGGCTTTCCAGCAGCGGCCTCTGCCAAAGTCTAGCGCCCTCTCAGTAGCCTGCCCTTCTGAATGCTAATTAGTTGTATGGGAATTTTTCACAGTAACCTCCCTAAGGAGCAATTTCACCAAAGAGTAACCCTCTTGTCTAGACCATACAAACCCATAAAGTCATCACTAGCTGGGATTTCCAAGCTACAAAGCAGCAATAGAAAAGACTGCCTCTAGTCTTTAAGGGCATTCAAGTATAGAGCACTCATTGTGGAAACCCCCCTCCCACCAGTGCACAGACCTCTCCAGAGAGAGTAATGGAAACTCACCCGCTCAGTTCCATCCTCTGAGGAAGGACACTTGGCTCATGATTTCTGCTTTATTTGAATCCAAATGATCTTTCCATCTCCTTGCGTTTTATACCTAGTCTGCTATCCGGGATCTTATTTTTGAGAAAGATCCAGCCATGCCTTTTACTTTCTTGCTTGCCAAAGCTAATTATTAATTAGGGAGATAAAAGCAGCTTAATACTTGACATTTTAAGAAACTAGGCTGGCAGAACTTACCTGTAGAGAGATTAAAAGGATTCAGAATTCTAATCCAGGCCTCTTTCTGCTTTAAGTACTTAGCAAAATCCTAGCAGTTGTGGTGACGGTGGTGTTAATGGGACTGGAAAATGGAAACATGCGCCGTAGAGGGAGAAGGGCAGAAAGGGAGAGTGTGCCCCTCGAGGTCCCATCAGATGTTCTCCCAAGAGTCAAGGTGGAAACAGATGACCAAAGCTATTCTAGAGTCCAGTAGAGTTGACTTTTCAGAAATACTAAAAATCAAGATTACTTAAAAAGGAAAACAAATCAAGAGTTATGCTTTATTAGATAAAACAGTTCTGGAAGCAGGTTGAAGAGAGACCTTCTGTCCCTTCCACCCCACCTTGGCCAGAGGCATTAGAGGGTTAGCGCCCTAAAGGAGTAAGAACAACACTGTGAGTTACCATGTGGGGACACCCAGGATGTACTGGGCACTTGGCTAACCATACCCATTTTCTATGTAATTCACATTCCCATTTTCTATGTAAATGTAGACCAGAAGGTAAGAGACGTTAGGTAACATGCCCCAGGCCACACTGCTAGGAAGTTTTAGTGCCTGGATCTTAACCCAGGGCTGCCTTGCTGCAAAGCAGACTCTTGAGTGTTCTCCTCTGCTGCCTCTGAGGACTTAGGAATGAATGAATGGATATATAGGAAATGTGATTCCTTTTGTGTGTCCTTCCATAACATTCATTTTAGCTCCTAGGATAATTACTAGTTTTCCAGGTATAACTAGGATCGGTCTTCTTGTTAATATACTGAACAAACATCTGAGTGCCTACTGTGTACCTAATGAATGTACAGAGATAAAAGACATAACCCCAGTATCCCAGAGACACAGAGGGGAGACGGATGGTAAGATTCACATGGGGTAGACAATTCTCTGATAGGGATGAGCTCAGAGCCCACACAGGGCAGGCATCTACCTAGCCCAGACTTGGATGAAGAGTCAGGAGACTTCTTGGAAGCGGTGATTCCCAGTCTGAGCTTTAAGGATGAGCTCAGAGCTCATCTTTAAAGATGAAGAGAAAAAACAGGAGTGTGAGGCTGGCTGGTTCTGGTGGGTGGGGTGGAGGAAACATGCCCAGATGACAGGAGTTAGCACTTTTTGCTACATGTGAGGGGCAGTCAAGGGAGGGTTTTAAACAGGGGAATGTCATGGTTTGCTTCACATTTTTAAAAGGTTATTCTGACTGACCAATGACTGTTGGGATTGGGGCTGTAAAACTGGCTAAAAGGGGGACTCTATTCCAGCTGTGCAGAGGAAAGAGGAAAGCAATGCGAGTCTGGGACGAGGATCACAGAGCGGGGAGGTACGGATGAACTCGAAATGTTTTGGAGGTAGAGCCGATGGGAGTTGGATGAGGCTGGAAGGGAAAGCGAGAGAGAAAGACTCCCAGGCAACCAAGTAAAGGCCGGGCCATTTCTTGCGCAGATGGAAGACAAGCAGGTTTTCAGGGGCAGCCTACGGTCAAGGACCCTCTTTTAGAATCAAGACATGGTCTTAAATCACTGACCCCTTCTGTCAGAATATATGGTATTTTGGTAGTTCACAAGCTTTTCCCAGTGACCCTCCAGGGGATAGAGGAGCCTGGGCCTCAGGTCCTTTCTGCAGCTCCAGCGCTCCAGCACTGCCGGTCCAACATCATCTGTAGGTAGTGTTTGCAAGCCAAACACTTGCAAAACTGCTCTGTTTCCTGTTTGCTGGGGCCAGGTTTGATGATCCCAAAGGCTGTTGACCAGCCTTCCCGCTCAGGGCCAAGGCAGTGCCACGCCACACCAGCCTTCATTGATCATTGTCCAGCAGGGCTGCTAGCGATTTCCCCAGATAAGTCAGTCATTCCGAGATTAAAGGTTCAGCGGTTGGCCTGATTCAGGCCATGCTTCTTTGCTATTTTCCCCTAGATGTTGGATGTGTTCTATGGGAGGAACTTTGAAAGAATAATGTTTTCCTAAGTGACAGGAATGCCCTGTAAATGTTTTTTCATAAGGATCTAAGCTCGGATGTCTGTCTGAATGATCTGATTCTCATAAATTGACAGATTGGTTCTGGAAATCCCATGAGCCTAGGCTGTCTTGAGAGATTTATGGCACTTCCTGCTCTCATCGGGCCAGGAATAACATGACAGCTCCCTCTGCACTTCTGGTTTTTGTTCCTGAGAGGACGGCAAAGGAGGGCAGAGGTGTGCTGAACCATACCACTTTGAAAGAAAACTGTCCAGACTTATTTTCCAGAACCTCGGAAAAAGCCTCATGTTCTGCTAAGGACGTAACAGTCTTCTGCCCCCTCCCTGGGGATTTTCCCAGCCTCAGCTTCTTCAGCCACATGGGTTCTGTGGTGTGGGATCAGGGCCAGGGCTGGCAGGAGCCCATGGACATTCCAAGGCTGAGCCAGCCTTTGTGGGCAGTGACCTTGGACCTTCAGCAGCAAGGCCCTGTGCCCAGTTGGAGATAAACTCATTCCTACCGTGGTTTAAGATTGCTCCAAATCAATGTTAATGAGTTACAAATTAATTCCTTCTTGGCCTGACCAAGGAGAAAGACTAATTATGATGGCCATTCCAATTAGAACCCACGCCTGGCAAATCTGTTTGGCCGAATTATATGTGATATTGGTGGAAGTCTGATGGTTTTTAGTCCATATAATAATCGCATCCGTGTGTCTCAGTCTGCCTTCTCAGCAGCATATCAGAGTGGAGTCAGGAAATGTTCCACCAGCTCTCTAGAAGAGAGACAAGCGACTGGCTCTAATGGCTGTACCTTGAAGACCCAGCACTGAGTGCTGGAGGGGATGCAAAGATGAGCCACCCTCAGAGAGATGGCAGTGAAGTCACAGAGGAAAACAAGGGTGTAAATAAAGCTCCTAGGAGACTCTGAACCTCAGTGCCTTCAGTGAACCGCTATCATGGTTAAAAGGGTTAGTAGTCACATCTACTGGGAACAATTCAGCTAACAATAACCTGAGGAAAGTAGCATTTGAGAGGTTTTCAAGAATGAGTGCAGGAAAGGGTAGAGGGTGGGCTGAGTGTTGTGTATTTCAAGCCAGAAAAACCTAGACAGACAGCCAGGGGATGGCTGGGGACCCATTCCACACCAGTGAACTGGTGTGTTGGGTTCATGAAGCATATGTATAGATATAAGGACCTTAAATCCCACGCTAAGGAATTTGTGTTTGAGTTGGCAGTGGAGCCATTTTTAATAAGCAAAGTAACCAATGCAGTCAGAGAAGAGCAGTATTATGGATTGCAGCTATTTGGAGGAAGGTTGAATGTGGCAGCCGGAAATACGATGGATTGGAGGGCCAAGAGACTAGAGCCTGGCATATCAGTTAGGAGGTTATTTCATTAGCTTGGGGTGGAAGTATGAAGACCTTGTCGGAAATAGATTTGATTTTCTTGATGAAATTTCTGCATGTTGGAAGGGAAATGACTTGATGTGGAAGGCTTTTCAGCGCTGTCATGCATAACACACAAATCCCTCCCAGTTGATAGAAACCTGCCCTGTTGCTTAATATAAGTAAACCTTGTAGACGCTGGAATGTTTATGTTTGGCCAAAAATGGCTCTGGTTTTTTACACAGCTGTAAAGTGTATTTAACTCCCAAATATAAAACACTTATTGACTACTGGTTCATAGCTTCATAAAACAAGGCTCCATTGCGTAGGTACTTTTTGTTGTCATCCCCTATCTTTTTATGCAGACCTGTTTCCTGATATTGTTATTCCAACGGGAAAAAAAAAAATCAACCCCAAGTAAACTACCTTTTTTACAAGCAGCCCGAAGAAGAAAGCTCCAAAGACAATAAGGAGGCTCCACATTTATATTTTTAACCCAAGATTACAGCTGTAACTAGCAGGGAAGCAAAATTGCTTTAATTGTGAATGTTTTTCATTGTGGTTGTGAGTGTAAGTAAGTAACAGATGTTAATTTTCCCCATTTCAACTGTTTTTAATTCTTTCTTGAACATGGAGAGAGAAATCTTTAAACACTTGCCAAAGTTCAGTTAGCATCCCCTGGCTGAAGGTAGAAAATGCCCTACTGTGTTTTTTCTCAGCCATATACCCGCGTGGGCTGCCCTTGCCACAGAGCACAGGGGAAAAGATTCCAGCTGGCACAGGTTTTATTACTGCAAAGTTAATTTGCAGAAAAAGCCTTTGGCAGGAGGGGTCTGTTCGACGTTTTATATATTTACTTATTTGCTCTTTTTCAGTTATAAATAAAATTGCACTGTAAAACATTGCAGCTTAATTGCAGGAAACCCAATGCATTTTTTTTTTGTTCTGCAAGTGGTTAATAGCTTGTTTTTTTGTTTATATGGAGTTGTAGAAATCTTATGTAAGAATATGTTTACAGCCAAGGCTGTGTGACTTGGTTTATCATGTTTTTCCTGTGCTCTGTGGAACAGACGGCTGTTCATTATTGAAAGGCCTTTTTCTGTGGAGAATGGAGTTTGCTGGGGGGGAAAGAGTTTATGTAAGAATGCAGAATGACTTCCAGAGACTATGGGCGCTCTGTGGCTATAAAGCCTCCACAGCACCATGGGCAGTGACATTGTAACAATTTGCTTTAGCACCTCAGAAGTGTTCCAGCTGCACTTTCTGAAGTGAGCTCCGCTGAACAGAGCACATGCCGCAGATAGTACCACCACTTTCTTCCCACCTTCCATCTTTGACATGTGTGTCTCCCCACCTTCCATCCTTGACAGTTCTCGTGTGACAGTCGGCTGAGGTAGAAAAAGTTCCACCCACTTGAACCACATACCCTTTACACGCTTCTAATTCTCAAACCCACCCCGAAAGATTGGGACCATCATATAATTAACAGGTGAAGCTTGTTCTTCTAAACCTTCACTTTTTAGAAAAATATAGACATAGAAAACATTTCTCTTGGATGCAC